CTCAGGTTGTTTCAGCTTAGACCCCATATATTTAACACATTTCAAAACGCTGGATGGTGTCAAGACAGGTAGGTTCATATCGAAAGTTACCCTCCATTCTCTACTAATTTGGATCGATAGGTAGTTTGATGCCCTTGCCAGCAGCATGAACCATTGTCCTTTTATTTTTTACCTGACCGAGTGAGAAACTGACCCAAAGGCCCTGCTCATTTGTGATGTCTGCTGTCCGTCTCTCCCTTTGTGCTCGGGATGAGGCAGAATTGGACTCCGCTGCTCTGGTATCTAATCTACAACACTCGCCTAACATAGCTCAGCCAGCAATCACTAACCGAAGATCACAGTATATGCACAATACTTTCATCTCCTTGATATTCAAGGTGTATCATCTATCATAGCAATCCCTGGAACATCATCAAACAGGCCATTAACCCATTGAAACCCCATTGATGTACCTGGACTCCATCTGTGGGCAATAATCCCCCACCAACTTCGCATCATTTAGTGTTCCAAATCCAATAACTACACCCAACGCACTGTCGCCTCCAGCCAGCATGTGGCACATACCTCGTCCGGATCCCGGGGCTGATCTCCCCTGGCAGTGCAGTCAACGGAGCCTCCGTCCACTATATCGATGAATCCATGAAAGCCAATCCTGTAAATCCAAGGGCTGAGGAAGCCGAGGACAGTTATATTTTGTGAGATGCGCAAGAGGTTTTGGCGAACGAGCGATGACTACAGCGGCAGTGGGCGCAGAGCCGCTGTTTTCGGTGTTTGAAAAAAGTAGTTATTGATAGTGTACTTTCTATCTTCCCGTTATTCTATTATCCCGCAATCCTCTCCCTATTTTCTTGTCCGGGACCATATGTTGTTGGAACAGGGTCCAATTTGCCCAAGGAAAAACACTATCAACCCTTGAATCGCTCTTGCTGAGAATCTCTCAGACGCCGCTAGCTCTCAATTGTGCGAAGCGATTTCTTGCTGCCTTTACATATTGGGGTGGGACGCTTTGCTCGTGATTTTTTTTTTTTTTTTAGTCTGAAGTTCTGAGGAAGTGAGACAAATGCTGGTCAGGTAGCTTCTCCAGTTCGTTTTGGTTATTCATTGGGTCTGGTTGATCTGGCCTGGAACGAGTTCCCCCTTCCTCCGGTCGTATAATACATAACATTTGACTGGAGGCAGAGAACAAGGATTTGTAAACCGCGAAGGGGATGGCCTGGGGCGGAGATATCCATCACTTTCTGGTGGAACATATCCTCCCGTCCCAGTTGCACAGAATAAAAGAGGACTTACCCAGGTAGACCCTTGAGCCCAGCAGTCCGGAACAACAGCATGCCCTTCCGTTCCATTACTTAGAAGAAGTTAGATCGGGGCGAGGACAAGCAAGACCCCACTGAACTAAGAGGCGAAGTTAGTATTACTACGAGGGATGGGACGCAGAACCATTTATCAAATGAAGGGACCCAGAATCAGATATTTGAAGAGAATAATAACCTGGGATATTCTTAAAATGGGAAGAGTTTTGATTTGTAGATCGAACCAACAAAAAGGTCTCTCACCTCTGCAGATTGAAGGGCCAAGGTTGCTGGAACCGAGTCCATATGGGTACTTAACCGCCCGATATTGAATTGAGATGTAGCTTTAGTCTATTCCCTAGACTCCTCCCTCTTGACAACGGATTTCCTGTCGTCGTAGGCAATGTGTAGCATGATTAAAGTAAACAAATCTCAGGGTCTGGTGCTTTGGCATTGATGGCCAAGAGTTGTCCTCCAGAACGACCAGAAGGAGGTTAAGGGCAAAGTGCGCCAAACCCTACACTACGCTACCTACATCAAATTACATAACTTGAATAGTGGCCTTATAGAAAAGAGAGCTGACTGTGAGGATCAAATTTCGTTAGGGAAGCATGGAATGAAGCCCAATACAGAGGTCGTCTGAGCCCCTGCAAAGACACCCACATGTTGCCTCAGATAGTATTTTTGCAAAGAACACCATATATAAAACCTTTTTATTCACAGCAAAAAAATGCAGTAATATGTTCCTGTAGTTCATTATCAAAACAAAAAGGAGAAAGAGGATCATAAGGAATCTTTTATGTCCTTTCTTTGCAACTCCTGGCAACCAAAATTCAACCGAATTGGGGTTGAATGAGATGACATGACAACCACAATCAATGAGCACCACCACATATAGTATATATATTAGCAATCTATATATACTATATATACATCAAGCACAGTGCTATTTAGAATAAACAAACTAAGCATATTATACTTGTGAGTATGTACTGCAAGCTATAGCCCAGAATATATGGACTCACCACTATCATTATTCCTGCTACGTAGAAAATATATACCTGAAATGTATATCCCTCTTTTCGTTTCTTCTCTTTCTCTTTCTTCCTTAGCCACTAGTTACTAGAAGCATATACTTTATACTTATTATATACTTACTCTTATTTATAATATCATCTATTTAACTATCTTCTTATTCGTTCCTGACACTATCTCCAATGGCTTTTGACATCATTGCCAAGCAGCCACCGCCACAGCCACTGTCATCATCGTATTTTCAGAGCAATTAGAAATGAAGAATATAAGCCTACATCGCAAGCTGCCTCCGAAGAAAAATTAAATGTGTTCTTGTTCAAAAGCAATTGGTCCGGGGGGAAGGCATTTTCCTCATCTGTCTTTGCTTTCATTTTCGAGATGCGGATCTAGAGGATGAACACACGGAAAGGGGCCCAAAAAATTAATGATAAGGGAAAAAAAAACTTTTCATATGATGGAATCTCATAAACTTCTTAGCACTCATCATTCATGAATAGTATGTCATCAATTGGCATCACAACTGTGCGATATTGCGTTGGCAGGATATCACTGTTCATTGACATCCTTCGTGAACCGTCTCCGGAGTTCAACCTAACGAACGTTCTGGTGAACAACACCCAGACCTAACATTTCATCGTCCTACTGCTCCATCCATATTTGTTGTTCCATCAAAACAGAGGATAAAGTAGTCGAAAAGTGCTGTCCACTTTCTGCGTTTTTACAAGCAACATGGCCGAGAACAACATTACTCCCGAGGCATCCGCTGCTTTGCCTGGAACCCCACAAGATGCCGACGACGACGAAACTCCTCTTCTCTTGTCCAACTTTACCGGTGCAGGTGGCAGCTTTGCCGATGAGGAAAGTGGGCTATCTACCACGTTGTCCAATTCCAGGTCTGCTTCCGGCTCTGGAGACTCTGTAGACACCCCAGGTCTCGAGCGCTGCCTCGCCCCCAACAGCTTGATAGCCATCCTCCTGACCATCTTGCTAGTCCTGCTTGTGTTTGTGCTATATCTTCTCCTGAGGTGGATTAACTATCGCTCCGTTGGGGCTTGGTGTTAACATGTAGGTGGTATGGTGGTTGCTTATCTCCCTCAGCGTGCAATATACCTCAGGTGTTTTGTATATTTATTTTGGCCCCTCGTCCCGGATATTGATATGTCAACAAATTTTGACTTGGAATTGATTGCATCAGAAAATTTAAAAGCGAGACGCCATTCTATCAGACGAGGCGCAAGCTATTTCGACAGACTTTTCGCAGTGTGAGGGGGTTTCTAAAGTGAACGTCCACCGGTTACATGTTAGCTAAGTGTGTTTGCTTATACACCCCTCCACATCAACTTATACTAATGGTAGGCGCTGCAACGGAAATTCGTTATACGCACAGTCATACACCTTATATTATGTGTGCTGGCCACAAGTTCGTGATGCATGGAAAGGGACAATAAATCTCTTCTTAAGGTTTGTAGATGATTTTGGTACATTTTGTTACTTTCCTTCCTGTCTCTTGGTTCAGAGATATTATATCCTCATTGGCTAATACATGGTTCCAGACAGATAGATAGGAAAATCGACGATGACATCGGTGTAACAAGAAGGGGATTCGCTATGGTTCCTCACAGCATGTTGGATAGTTTTCCGCGATTCGGGGTTGAGAGGTATAGGTTGTGTACAGCACATGGGTTCCGTGAATTTGGTCGTATGTGCAAGCATGTCAATATCGGGATGTCAAGTAGTGAATTGAAAAAAAATTCCATTTCGCCCCTGGTAATATCAGGCATTAAGTTTTTGGCTTGCAAGCCACTGAGCCATGTCCGATTTATTTGTAGAGTGCACCTGAGGGCTTGCATTATACATCATATTCAAACGAGCATGTTGGTGTCGGTGCGAAATTGTTCAAAGAGAGCAGTTGATGTAAGGATGTGCGTTTTCACCATGTGTAGTAGCTCATTGCAACTTGCTCAATTTGTGGAGGAGCGAGAGGACGAAATTATGGGTATATTTCGGGTAGGAGTGATATATGCAGGGAGATCATAGAGCTCCGGCCTTCAGTTGGGCAAAGAAGGAGATTTGATACATAACTTCAAAGGCTTTCAAAAAGCATACGAGTATCAATGAGCAACGGAGTTGTTATACTATCATCAGTCGATAAGGTAAACCAAGTCCCACAAAGAAGAAAAGAAGGAAACGGACTGCACGCATCGATGTAAACCCCATGAATCCACAGCCACTCCTATATGACCCTATTTCGAGAAAATACCAAACGACGAGCAATCAGTCCGTCTCAGGCCCCACAACACCAAAGGAGGTTTACCTATCGGGCTCGAATGAAATTTCCTATTTGCTGGCGAGGGACCCAGGGACATGTTGGAAATGCTCCTTTGAAATGTTCCTTTTGTGCATCCATATACGTCAGCAGAACGCGCCAGAACTTCAAGGCTTGGAATATTCCAAACGTGGTGAAACAAATTCCGTGACATAGGATGGTTGTGCCTGTGTGGGTGACGATGTGTAATGCGCCGAGAGTGATAAGACCTACAGCGGATATGGCCGCTTGTTTGCGTGTTATCGTGCAATTGCCCGGTATCTTAAATGTGTTATTCATCTTTTTTATATATTTGCTTTTCATTGTCCGATTTATCGTGCAACAAGGGAATATGTAAAATGGCGTATTCATGAAGTTGAAATTTTCCACGCGAGGTCTTCTCGGATCTTTTCTTCCACCGTATCTCTCACAAATTGTTCAAGGGTTTGGCAGGCTTTTGCACCATCCATATCAACATCACCGTCTCCCATTATTCTACCTGAGCCTCCAATACAGACAGATTGGGCTAGTTCATGAACTTTGTCCCAGGTATCCAGGTCAAATTCACCCTCACTTTCATTAAATAGTAGATGTCCCTTAGACGAAAATGATAGGACATGTAATGACTTCGCAATTTTGATGTGGTAATTTGAGGGATTGTCTACCAACTCGCCCGTCCGAGATACTGCGATCAATACAGAAGTGTATATCATAGAGAGTGGGATTGTAGCAGAGAGCAATGCAAGAAGAGCCGTATGAAGCAACGAAGGTAAAATCGGAAGACACTTCGTAGCATAAAGTTAGCAAGGAAGGGCCAACAAGGAGAGGAGCAGCAGAGACCGAGTTTCCGATAGGTATAACCGGAAAATGCTTTGACGCTTTGCGTTGCTCGTTGCACTCACCGATCCACCCCGTTCCGTAACTTTCCCGTCAGCCCACTTATTTTTCAAAACCACCAGAGTGATTACGATTCCTGCCCTAGGCATGGACTTTTCCCGCAATAATATAACGCGACTCAGGACACCACGCAAGATGCCTTCGACATATCTCTCGCCAACCCCGCTAACACCTACGCCTGGCTTAACGAGTATTTCTATTGTTGCTTCCTCTGGCCTTTGGTCGCGGCGGCCAGATTCAATAGGGCCATTTACAGACCCCAGTATCTGGTCTCCGGTGGGGGATGTGTACGATGCCGAACCGTCAGGGAAACGGAGTGGCGTGAGCGAGGCATCAAGGTCTAGCATTGGATTAAGAGAAGAGGCTGGCAACGAATATTATTTAGTGGGAGGGAATCTGATTCTTGGTACGAATATCTTTTTGGAAAGAAACATGTAATTGTTTGAGCATGAAATTGAACACACATCAATAATAATCAGGTTATATTCACTCCGTAGTGGCTAATGCTACATTTTTGGAATTTTTGCCAGGTACACGGAGGATAGATAGGCCGGGTTCCGAAGTTCACTCGCAAACTTGAACACAATCAGGACGTTCAAGGTCTCGTTTTTCAGAGCTCTCTCTTCTCAACTCACGGTGGTGGTTGCATTAATGTGCGAATCTGGCTCATGAATCTCAGTTCTATCCAGCGGCAGTACCTCTTGGCCAACGCTTCTTTATCACAACATTCTACAGGATGACGTCGCTGGAGGCTCTAAACCCATTGCCCGCGGTTACAGTTCGAAGCTGGGTCCACGCAAACCACAACCACCCTGCTAAAATACGTGTCACGATATACGTCGATCCTTCACTGACCATGTACTAGCGATATTGTATACCGTGTGTTTCAGATGGGGATTACCCGAAAACTTAGAAACTTCCGGCTCGAATGCAGGTCATGTGCTACCTTTGCCTGCGTTGTGCGACAGGACGACAATTGATATGTGTCGAGTGAGCAGAGCGTGGCCAATATACACATGCTTGCGTCGGTTCGGCAGCTTCGGGTGCTGTCTGTGTTGTGATAGTCGGGCCCGGTGCTAACCACAACCATGATGAAAGCCAAGGCACCCGTCGACACATAGCGTGCCCTGGACACAACCTGCTGGTGACAGTGATCGTCCGTAGGTGACTGGGGGTTGGACGATCATGATCAGCATTTGTCACCCATCAGCGACTTGCTTTAACCATCACTGGCAGGAGTTAGTTAACTGACTAACCGTTATTATTACTTAATGGCAAAAGAGGAAAACTCCGGATTAATATCATGATAAGACAGCCACACCTGCAGTACATGGGTCAGTTTATTATTGAAGCAGCGGCCATGGAACTGTTACAGGGCCAATAAAGAAAGCCTTGTAACACGAATACAGGAAGTTTGCGGTTTCTCCGTCAAATATTTCTATGAATTCTCTTTCATTCGCACATACTCATTTCCACAGAGGAAACAGAAATGGTGGGAAATGGGGAAAAATGTTCAACAAGAAACTTTTGAAGTGTGTTGTCCAATTCCAAATCGGTCTTTAGGCCTTCAACAGCTGCAGCTGAGCAGCCTATAACAGCCAAGACAGCCAACCCCGCTCAACAAAGAATGGCCAGAACTTCTCCGGCAACCCCACGGCCAAACAGAGGGTCAAGGCGGAGAATTTGTCGAGCGGAATGCAGCAAGGAGAGGTTTCGCTCATTTATTCTTCTTTCCGAGTGGATATGGGGCATCCAATCGACCAATAGCTGGTTTGGGCTGTCGATGCTGTATCCAGTTCTTATTTCCATCCGTCTGGCCACAGCAGGAAAGTGTGGGGAAGCCCAGCAAAAATTTCCTAGATTCTTAGGTGTGCGACAAAACATGGTATCGTCATAATTGTGGCAGTGAAATCCATGGCTAGTTCCGAGCATTCGTTCAAATTGGAACTTTTCGTTGAATCCTGATCCGACCCACATACTGCTGAATGGGAGAAGTGGAGAAACCAGCGTGAACGGAACTTCTATATAGTATCCCCGCAAGCGTACTCTCCACTCTTTTCTATTACTTCAACTTTACTACTTCTCTATATGCATTTTGCTTAGAGCTATTTTTCAAATCATCCCAACTACCACCGTTACCGTGACTATAATCCAAGGAGCTGTTCGTCGAGGCCTTTTGCTCCCTTGTTAAATCGTACCTCCTATTGAATGGGCATAGAGACCTCTCCGCCAGATGTCGAGGAATCGACAGAGCCACCAATACGTTCTTCTATTCATGAAGGCCATCAACAGCACCCGGGATCAACCCTAAACCAATCGCCTTCCACCGACCGCCATACAGGAGAAGCAGAAGAAGTCTCTAAGTGTCCAAGTACAGCTGTTTCCCTTAACCACTCAGTTTATTCGACCCTTGATCAGCTTCAAAAGCATCAAGAAATCTGTGAATACGCCTACTCTTACCCCATTTCGGAAGTCTTTCGTGCTGTGGGAGTTGATTTGCAGTAAGTCACTCACATAATGGTGTTCAAATTTATGACCTAATATCGGAGGGCTGATAATTATTCTATTAGACATGGACTCAGTAGTACCGAAGCGGCATATCGCCTTGAGCGGGATGGACTTAACAAGGTTAAGGGAACACAGGGGGTTTCCCTGTGGAAAATTCTGTTAAGACAGGTGTCAAACAGTCTGACTTTAGTACGAAAAAGCATTTATTTCCCGAGTCGACTATTCGCCAGCCAACTGGTTAATATGGATCGATAACATCAATGTTAACTCTGGTGCGATGATATGCAGGTACTCGTCATAACCATGGCATTATCTTTTGGGATTAATGACTATATAGAAGGTTCCGTTATAACTGCTGTCATCCTTCTCAATATTGTTGTTGGGTAGGTCGCTTTCTCACTCGCCACTTCCTAGATACCCGTTATAACATGAGGCTAAAATTATAACACTTGAGTACAGTTTTGCCCAGGATTATCGTGCAGAAAAAACGATCCTTTCGCTACAAGCCCTTTCTGCACCAGTGTGTAAAGTCATTCGCGACGGCCGAATCAAGTCTGTGAAAGCTGAGACACTCGTCATAGGTGATGTCGTCCAACTTGTAGTTGGAGATATGATTCCAGCAGATTTAAGACTGTTTGACGGTGTGAATGCCTCCACCGACGAATCCCTCCTTACAGGCGAATCGCTGCCTATTTCCAAAACCCCCCACGTTGTTTTCCCTTCTCGTGAAATGGCAGTAGGGGATCGGACGAATATGGCCTATTCTGGAAGTACGATGACTCGGGGTCGTGCGGTTGGGATTGTGACCGCAACCGCAATGGAAACCGAGGTTGGTAAGATTGCACAGCTGTTACGCCAGCAGGGGCCAAAAAGTGTTATGGGTTCAAACATAGTCCTACGAACATTAAATAGAGTGAAGAACACCTTGGTTCATATCCTGGGTTTGGTGGGAACACCACTCCAAGTCAAGCTCAGCAAATTCGCATTATTGCTCTTCGCTCTCGCGATTATGTTGACTATAATTGTTTTTTCTGCCAATAAATGGGATGTACATGGCGAAGTATTGATATACGGTATTTGTGTTGCCGTTTCCGTCATCCCCGAGTCACTTATTGCAGTCCTCACCATAACTGTCGCTGTTGGTACAAAGGCGATGGCCAAAGGCAACGTGATAGTTAGAAAACTACAGGCACTTGAAGCTGTGGGCGGAGTCACAAACATTTGCTCAGACAAGACCGGTACACTTACTCAAGGTCGAATGGTTGCACGGAAAGCCTGGGTTCCGGGCGCTGGAACCCTGACTGTCCACGATACGACCAACCCCTTCGATCCTCGAAGTGGATTTGTTCAAATGGATGGCACAGATATTGATACCGATCATGTCGGCAAGAATTCCAACTTCACCACGTTTCTCAATGCTGTAGCGCTGTGCAATTTGTCGTCTGTCTACAACCCCAATGACAAAAACTCAATCGATAACCAGTCAGCTACGGATGCTGGCGATGATTGGAGTGCCGTTGGAGAGCCCACAGAAATCGCTCTTCATGTTCTTGCCCTCCGGTTCAATTCCGGAAAACTGGCGTTACTTCAAGGCAACCGGCGGAAGCAGTTGGCAGAGTTTCCTTTCGATTCAGCAATAAAACGAATGACAGTCGTCTATCAAGATTCCAAGTCCAAGTGTGCTCAGGCATTTTCCAAGGGCGCAGCCGAATCCATGTTGCCATTACTGAGGTCTTCGGATAAAACGAAGTCGGAGATTCGCTACGCTGTCGATAACATGGCAGGGGAAGGGCTTCGAGTCCTGTGTGTGGCGCACAAGATTATCCCCGAAAATGAGTTGGGTCAACTATCCCAACGCGAATCCACAGAACAAGACCTCCAGTTCGTTGGGCTCGTTGGGCTCTACGATCCTCCTCGTGTGGAAACTCCCGACGCGGTTAGGAAATGCCATATGGCTGGCATTACCGTCCACATGCTTACAGGCGACCACATCAAGACAGCCACGGCTATTGCCTATGAAGTTGGTATTCTTGGGAATATGATACCGTCCGCTCAAGCTAGCACTGTAGTCATGAGTGCCGAGCAATTTGACAAGCTCTCTGATGCGGAGATCGATGTTATTGAGGCGCTACCCCTCGTGATCGCAAGGTGTAGTCCAGCCACCAAAGTTCGTATGGTGGAGGCGATGCACCGAAGAAATGCGTTCTGTGTCATGACTGGCGATGGAGTAAATGATTCCCCAGCCCTCAAGCATGCTGATGTCGGCATTGCTATGGGAAAAAATGGAAGCGATGTGGCCAAAGAAGCTGCTGACATGGTTCTCACGGATGATGATTTTGCATCTGTCGTGAAAGCTGTTGAAGAAGGACGTCGCTTATTCGACAATATCCAGAAGGTAGAAAGATAAAAACAACTCTTATTTTTCCCACATGCGAAATAATTCCATTGGCAGTTTCCCGCTAACTTCACAACCAATAATAGTTTCTTATGCACTTACTGATTTCCAACATTGCCCAAGTGATATTGCTCTTGTTGGCATTGGCCTTCAAAGACGCAGATAGGAACTCCGTTTTCCCTCTTGCTCCCATACAAATTTTGTGGGCGAACTTAGTCACCTCATCATTCCTCGCCTTGGGGCTAGGTCTAGAAGAAAGCCAACCAGATATCATGTATCGACCTCCCCATGACCTTCGAGTCGGAGTCTTCACACGCGAACTAATCATGGATAAAATGATATACGGCACATTCATGGGATCTCTTTGCCTCTTAGCGTTCGTAGCAGTCGTATATGGCGCTGGGGGCGCTAATCTTGGAGATTCCTGCAACCAGGAATGGAACCAGACATGCGAAGTTGTATTCCGCGCGCGTGCCACCACCTATGCAACAATAACGTTCCTCCTCCTCGTCACCGCCTGGGAAGTCAAGCACTTTTGCCGCTCTCTGTTCAATCTCGACCCCGCACGCTACACTGGCCCTTTCTCCATCTTCCCTAGCCTGTGGCAGAACCGTTTCCTCTTCTGGGCTGTCTTCGCTGGAGCCATCCTCTTGTTCCCCGTTATTTATTTGCCTGTGGTGAATAGGTCAGTCTTCAAACACTCGGGGATCACGTGGGAATGGGGCATAGTGTTTGGTGCTGTGGCCGTGTATCTTGGATTAGTAGAGAGCTGGAAGGCGATAAAACGCGCCTTTGGCATCGGGGGCGCGAGCATCAAGGTGCTGACTTTGGAGGAGGCGGAGATCAGAGAAGGGATGTTCCCAGTTGAAGTACCTAATTTTCCGTCCCGAAGCGAGACCGCAGAAAAGTAACTGGTTGGTGAGAGCTAACCCCCATTGATAGCGAAAAGTGATTGGATAGAAGGGGGAAATATGTGTAGGGGAACAAAACGAAAGAAAATAATGAAGAACGGGAATGGTGTTGTTGAAACCTAAATTGAGTCGTTCCTCGTAAGTTATACTGACTTATGTACTACTGATGATGTCACTCATTTATTTATTCCCATCCTCATTCCTGGTTTTGAATTGAGCGAGATATGGATTCCATGTTCTATTGCTCGCTTCCATTTTCTCTCACTATATGGACAAAACACATGAGAGAAATTACCTAGCAGGAGCTTTCGCATGACTATTTTTTTTCAATTCTCACATGTTTTGCCATAGTTAAGCTGGCCAATGTGTCTCTTTCATTATTTTCCTTGCATTTAACCATTCTTTTGAAATATCTGAATAGTGAGGGGTTGAATTCAACTTCATCCACCACTTTCGCGTCTTACAGGACCCCTTTTTTGGGAATAAAGAGAAGAAAAATAGGAGGGAAGGGAGAGAAATAAAAACGGAATTCCGTACTGTCCTTGGAATCTAACTTGGAAACACTACGTAGTTTCTGATGTTCGGAGAGCAAAATTTCCCCACCGACCCAAGTCGTGTTCAACACACGCTGTTTCTTTCCTTGGTGCATAGGTAGTTAGGAATCCTGTAATTCGTTTTATATCACAACATATTAAGTATGTTTCAAACGGTTTTCTACATATCATTAAAACCCTCCCAAGGCTAGGGAGGGGAGCTTCCGCGTCTGGTAGTCTAAATATTTTTACAGTGCAGAAGTAAGGAGCAGAAGCGATTAAAACTTTTTGGCGTCCTGCGAACTGCAGCTCATGGAGCGGATAGTCGCTGGAGACACAAAATCATTCACTGTATCTCTGATCTGAGGCGAAAAAGATAGCTAATTTCAATAGTGTAATCTGGGATTTCTCTGTTTTAAAGTGATAAAATAACTCTCTCTATGAGATAAACATATATAGGTAAGTGGAGGGTCCCTTTCACCTTTACCTGATCATTATCTTGTTCTGGTTTTCCCTGTCTTCGTAAATACGCAAATATGACATCTATCCTAAGTCGTCAAGTGTAATGAAACTCGGTCATTCCTTCCAAAAGAAGAAAAAAAAAATAAACATAAAAATAATAATGGAAGACATAACAATGGGTACAGACAATGTCTATTTAGCCACATTGATTAATTGGCAAGAGAACAGCTTTCATCGCATTGGGGAACCACAATATTCTTTCTCTCCTCCTCATCACCGTCATCATCCTCATGACTCAGGCTTCCGTACCCTGTATCTACGCTCTTTAAGCTTTCACGGCGGTCATTTTTAGTTTTATTTTCCGTCTCTCCCGATTTTTTGTCGACATCGGTCCTGCCAGGGTGGAGTTCGGTAACGGTGTTTGTATCTTGAGTTTTGTCTTTGCTGTGCGTTGCTCTGTGACGATGGCCTTCCCATCTGGTTTCTTCTACTTCAATATGAATGCCAGCTCGTTGGCAGGCATCGATGCATCCCTTGACAGCTTTTTCCATCAATTCCATGTCAAATCCGGAAGAAATCGGGTAATTAGCATTGCGAACCCAATAAATGAGACCTTGGGCGATACGGGAGAGG